GGGGGGGTTGGGGGGGGGGGGGGAGGGGGGGAGTATAAGAAGAAGATAGAATAGATGAACCTGCCAGGATATGCTCAGGAAAGGGATATCTGTTTTGATTGGATTTGCATCCTAAAATATAATTATACATGCACTGGAAAGTTTTGTGCATACAGACATTCTCCCATTTTTCTGAAACATAACACAGGGGATGCTGGCTCATGGCAATTTCTATGTATCCCTTTGTTGATTCAGATTAGCTGGTAGCTGATGTCAGCTCTGTATAGCTTGTTCCACCTTACACAGATGCTTGGTTGGATTGTTATTTGCCTGGGGATCATGCTGCATTAGGCGGAATTTTCTGTTTAGTTGTTGGAACCGTTTCAGAACTTTTCCAGCTATGTGGCATGAATCTTTATCTTGCTGAAAAAGCTATTCACAGAGGGGTTATGTTGCTAGCATAAAGAGATGGATGGAAGTGGCAATAATCTTCATAATGTTGGTGGCATTTAAATGTTACTATGCTAAAATACCGATAATGCTTTGATAAATTATATCAAATTTGTATCCCAATAATTAAAATTTGTGCCCAATCAGACAGGCCCTTGCACTACATAGGAGTTGCTAGATCTTAAGCTCGCCACTCTCGTTACAATGTTACAGATGGCAGACTCGCATCAGTGGGTTAACAGCTGTTTCACATACAAGCGACCAGCGGCTCTATAGCTGCCAATCGGTTGTTCAGCTTCTTTTGGGGTCCCCTGGTGACATTAGGGGTCCTAGAGACCCCTAATGTCTCCATAAAGAGGACCTGTCAGTGTGCCTTTGCTAATATATAGGGGGATTGTATGCGTCAGTGCACGAAAACGACAATTGCGCTACACATGTTACATATGGCCGCGAACGTCGGAGTGAGAGTAACCATTTTAGGGCCATCAATCACTGATAACACTAAAATGATGAGCGGTAAAAGCTTTTAAAGCGTCGCCTATGGTCAATTTTGGGTATGGTAGATTTTTGCGATTTCGCTGGTGCTCGCAATTTTAAAGCTTGACATGCTTGGTGTCTGTTTACCCGACGTGACCCCGTCTTTTATATTTTACCAAAAATATGGGTAATAATCATTGTTTCCTAATATAGTTAAAAAATAACTTATTTTTTTCAAAATGTTCAATAATTTTTCCTTAATATAGTAAAAAAGTAAAACCCCAGTGGTGATTAAATACCACCAAAAGAAAGCTCTATGTGTCTAAAAAAATGGTATAAAATGTATTTCAGTACAGCGTTGAATGACGGAATAAATGTCATTCAAAGTACCGCAGCGCTGAATACTGAAAAATGGCCTGGCCAGGAAGGGGGACTAAACACCTGGTCTTGAAGTGGTTAAGGATGTTGTAATGAGCACAGCATTGTTTTCGCCATCTCTTTGCATAGACTACCTGTGAGTTTTTATGTACTAGTTTCAGATTGGCCACAACCATCTTTCTTGCACATTCAGTGTCATATACACTGAGTGGCCAGATTATTATGACCACCTGACGTTTGTAGGCTAATTAGCTATAATTTTGCGCTGAAGTTGCTAGAGGGCCAGACCATTATAAATAGGGAAGCAGGTTGTTTACCACGACAGTAGAAGTGATTTATTTCTGAAGATATGGGTAAACAACGCGATTTAACAGCCTTTGAACGTGGGATGATTGTTGGGGCTCTGAGCCATGGAGTGAGACTGGACTGTCAGCCGAAAATCTGGGTCTTAACGTGCGAATTGTGTCCCTCGGCGACTAGTCAATGTTAGGGCAGAACGGAGATTGGCAAGACTGGTACAAGACAACAGAAGGGCAACAGTGCAGTGGCCAATTTTGGGTAATGTAGTTTTTTGAGGTTTCGCGCGCGTGCGCAATTTTAAGGCTTGACATGTTTGGTGCCTTTTTACCCGACGTGATCCCGTCTTTTATATTTTAAAAACAGTTGGGTAATAATAAATGCTTTAGAATTTAATATAGGGGAAACAGTTTTTTTTTTTTTCTGTACATTTTCCTTACTATAGTAAAAAAACAAAAACCCCCAGTGGTGATTAAATACCACCAAAAGAAAGCTCTATCTGTACCCCAATTTTTTTTATAAAATTCATTTCAGTACAGCATTGCATGACGGAATAAATGTCAGTCAAAGTACCGCAGCGCTGAATACTGAAAAATGGCCTGGATGGGAAGGGGGTTTAACACCCCGGACTTCAGGTGGTTAAAGAGATTGTTCAGTCAGATAGTAATATGTGTGATGAGCTTTAGTCACTAATCCAGTACAGGTATACAGATACAGTGTTCTAACTTCACTGCAGCTCGTTCATGGTCATGGAGAAATGGAAAGTATAAAATCCAGCTGGTGGAAACCATGTTTAGTGTTATGCAGTGCGCATACTACATGGCATTGCAGTCTGCACACTGCAATCTGCATTTTTTAAATCAAATTTAAATTGCCTAGCAAAGTTGGGAGCATTTCCAGCAATGTCCTGCAGTTTGCTGTGTTTATTAATAGATCTTATGTTTTGCATGCAAAGTATTTTGTTCTCTTTCTTGACTGGAAAAAAAAGTTTATTTTTGTAGTCATGTGAAAAGAAATATTGCATAAATACTTCATATTCGCTATTTCACAAAGGTGAAACTTTCGGCTGCTTTTCTGGTAAATAGGAAATATTGCATGAGTATTGTATACTCACTTTTCCCACCAATAGGTGGAGCTTTAAGTTTGCCATGCACTGTACAATCAGATTGCACAACCTCTGGACAATGTCATTTGGATTTATTAAGACTATGTAATAAAAGACAAACCTAAACGCTCCATCCCATTTGTATAAAATCAGGTAAGCTATGGGTACTTTTATTTGCTGGTTACCAGGTACCATATTGTTGTGTTCATGAACACATGATCTCTACAGCATAACAATGAGAGCTTGGTGTCTGAAGGGAAAGGATATAGAAGTCATACTGCTCTTTAGATGCCTGCAATGCATTACATGATCCAGAGACAATGACATAAAGATTACTTTTTTGCTCTGAAAACTAAGCTATATTTGGAACACATACATTT